TGCTTGTACTTCAAGACTTGAATTCTCAGTTTCCTGCTCCAGGCACCTGATGTCATGCCTCTGTACCATGATGGACTCTAGCCCTCTGGAATCAACTCTTTCTTCTGTGAGTTTCCTTGGTCATGGTGCTTTATCACAATCTAGTTGTGATATGTTGGTAGCCCTCAGGTGTCCTGTGAACTTTCCTGGGGTAAATGAGCATGATGCTTTTCATTTTCTTGGAGTCTGGGCACCTGGGAGTCTGTTAGGGTGTTAGATATTTACAGACAGGCTCTGCAGGAGGGTTGCCATTTCTTTATTGAAGAAAGAGACTACTGCAGGTGAGTGTGCTCAGAGAAGCGATGGGATCTGGACTATGATACCTCCAGAATGCCTTTCTGTATGATCTCGACCCTCACTTACTCACTTGTGCGACTTGCATGCCTTGAAGAAGTGAGTTCTTTGCTCAATGCAAATTCCTGTCTTTATCAAGCCACCTTCTTATTGTAGACTTTGATGAAGAAAAAGATTTTTGGCCAACCTTATGATGGAGTTAATTGTCCTGGTTTAAACTCCTGTGTGACCAGCCCTGTGCAGTTTTAAATGTCAACTTGACACAACCTAGAGTCACCTGGGAATAGGCTTAATGAAGAAGTCTCTAGATTATGTTGAGGATTGTCATGATTGCTAGTAGATATAGGAAGACACACCTGCTACTTCATGGGCTGGGCCCTGAACTGTATAAAAGGGAAATGAGAAGGGGTGGCCAAGTATAGTCAGAAAGCCAGCCAGCCTGCAAGCCAGCCTGCAAGCCAGCCTGCAGGTGAGCATGTGTTTATTCTTCCCTGCTCTTGACTGTGTGTGATATGATGAGCTGCTTCAGTTCCTGTCTTGGCTTTCCCTAAATGATGGACTATGACTTGGAATTATAATCCAAACGAACTTCTTTCTTCCCTGGGTTGCTTATTGTCAGGATGTTTCATCACAGCAATGGAAAGGAAACAGCGTTGGGAGAAGCCCCAATGCTAGTCAAGCCTGGGTTTAAATGGTTACTTCTTGGGGATGGGAATGGGACAAAGGGCATAGTCCCATGCTTTTGATAAATCCTTGAAACAGTGTACTCATTTCATGATTTATCAAATTTTACACTCTTTCAGAGCGAATGTGGAGTTCTTCAGGTTCTCTTGTGGAACTTGGTAATCTGTGGGTCTATTTGGAGCAGAGTCTTCCCCAAACCTTGACAGACACATTCGCTTGTATTCATCAGTAAGTTACTCTGACACAACCCACATTGGCTGAACTATAACTGGATTTTTCTGGGGAAGTATTTTTTGTAAGATTTATCTTGAGGTCTAAACTTATTATAAATTTATTATAAGTGCTTTTTAAAAAGTTTGAGCCAGGCGGTGGTGGCGCACTCCTTTAATCCCAGCACTTGGGAGGCAGAGACAGGTGGATCTCTGTGAGTTCGAGGCCAGCCTGGGCTACAGAGTGAGTTCCAGGACAGGCTCCAAAGCTACACAGAGAAACCCTGTCTCAAAAAACCAAAAAGAAAAAAAAAAGTCTGAAGGGGAGGGTACAGATGACAGGGGATGAAAACTTCCTTTTGTCATAGTGGCAAACTTGGCTGATTATGTGATACCCAGCACTCTGAAGTTCTTTTGTTTATTTCTTTTTGTTTCTAGGTACAGATTTGTTCAGTTGTATACATTCTTTCTTTGGTCATCAAATTCGTCGTATTCACTGTTGTATATGAACAAACGTCTGGTCACCCCAGATTGGGTATCAACAATAGACCAAAGTAATGAGTAACTAGTGAGTTTGCTGGAGTTACTTGGGGAGCATGGGGGAGAGCTTCCTCGCAGAAACAGCTCGTCATCATTGCTGAGTTCTACCCCACTGTACACAATGAGTGCATGGAAGTAGCATCATGAAGCTCCACATTCAGTTCATTTCCCATTTCCTGTAGGCTGTAACATTTCCAGAGATTGCTTGCTGGTGAGGAGTGTAAAACTGTGACCTGAGAATCTACCTGCTGGTTTGCAGTAGCTCTGCCCCTCTCACAGATTCTGACAGGAACACCATGGTGACATTGTCTGTGGATTCTGAGTCAGACAGCTTGTGATGCCACACCCACCCGGGAAGTGAGTTAGCATCAAAGGGGTATCGATATTATTGATACCCACACCTCCCACTCCCCACCTCTTCCCTGTCTCCTGCTGGGAACCAGAGAGCCTGACTGCAGGTTCTTGCTGTGAACCTCCCCCGTTCTAAAAGGGCAGAAGAAGAGGCTCCCTCCTTGCCACATGGGCTCTGATTCTCTTCACAGACGCCACCATGCTGTCTGAACCATTCTCCTCAGAGCCTTTGCCCTCTATCTGTCTGTCTGTCTATGGCCTTAATAGCTGTTCTAATGAATCCTCTAGCCCCCAGCAATCCGTCCCAGCATCCTCTTGAACCACTACCTGGCCACATCAAAACCTAAGAGGGAGCTGACTGGCAGGAGGGAGAAATCGCTAGAATCTTGGGTGAGGATCCTGTAACCTTCTCATCTTCGCATCCCCTATTATAAAGTGTCAATAGCTCTATTACCATTGTCATATACATATACCACTCATTGTATCGCTCTACTTAGTTTATCATCATGGTTACTGGTCCAGAGCTATCTCTAATCCAAAATGACCATATAATGATCATGTTACACTTAAAAGAAAAAGAGGGACTGTAATTATGTACAGAAATAAGTATGGGGAAAAATCACTGCCATAGAAAGGTGTATGTGTGTGTGTGTTGTGAGAGGGGTTGTATTTCTTTTTCCTTTGGTGAAAAATTTGTAACAGTAGCCCCCCCCAAGCCTCCCCTTTTTATGCTGTTTTTTTCTGTTGTTGTTTTTTAAAAAAATCTTTGACAGTGATTGTCTTCTTCTCACCACAGACTTCAGTTTTATAATCATAAGTGTGCAGCACACAGACCTGGTTGTTGGGCCTTTATAACAACAGAGACAGAAGCAACCAGTGTGAATTGGAGCAGAGCAGTGAGAGAGAAAGCAGCCAGCTCTTTTCTGATGTAACGACCCCGAAGCACAGCTATGACAAGTGATAATGGAGTATTAAAGACAACTTTAAAAATGCACCAGAATCTGATTTAATTTTAATTAATTATCACTTTTGCTTCAAAAATACAAACATAATCTTAGTAGGAAATGCACACCTAATACAGAAGTCCTTAAACCCTAGATTGAATTATCCCTTCATCTCAGGCTCCAACTGGGTCCAGTCTCCCTCTTCTCCTCAGAAGTAACTGTTGCTTGGAACACACAGTTCCTCTTCCAGCTTCTTCGTCTTATACATCAAGGAATTTAAAAATAGATTTAGCAACCAACTTGAGGACAAATTGATTGGAGTTTGTGTGTGTGTGTGTGTGTGTGTGTGTGTGTGTGTGTGAGAGAGAGAGAGAGAGAGAGAGAGAGAGAGAGAGAGAGAACCCACCAGAACAACAGGGGAGAAAGCTGGAGATGCTTGGCAGCTGCCAGGGAGAGGGAGCTGGATCAGAGAAAGAGAAAAAACTGATGCTTTATGAAGCGGGGTCAAGCAAGCAAAACAGGACGAGTAGTGGCAGCCTGTCAGCAGCTGCCTGGAGTGTGGGGAGCGGGGTGGCAGGATGGAGTGCCAAGGGTATTAAGGCAAGCAGCCTTACACTATTGGCTAGTATCCAAAAAGGAGAGATGGAGAGGCAAAGAAATTCAGGAAGCAGCAGGTTCAACACTGAGCATCTGTAAGTAACTGAATTGAGGAAGGAGCTCCTGGGATACATGAGTGCCTCAGTGAGGAGGTGGCTGCTGCTTCTCCTCCTGTCTTCAGATGTGTCATACTTTTCTCTACCTTCTGGTGACAGGCTGTTCTCTTGAGGTTTTCTCTTTATCAAAGGAGGGTTTGTCCGTGCCTGGGAGAGCTTCATCCAAAGGTATTATCAAGTGCCGACCAAGCCTTTTGTACAAACTATTTCAAATTCTAAGGAGGGGCACTGGTAATACTTCCCCCTTCACCTGGCACAGGTTTTCACTTACAGAACTGTGGGTGGCCAGAGACCCAGGAGTTGGGGTCCGAAGCTGATTGTGTGTGGGGTGTTCATTCTCTCACCAGGGAACACCTCCTTACTTTTCATTTAAGTATTAATATACCTTCATGTCATGTAGTTTGCTTTTACCAGATGAAATTCTGCTATAGTTTATGTCCTCAAAGCCGTTTTCCCCTCGTTAATTTTAATACCTTTAGGCTGTCCTTTTAGGCCTGCACACATAGTGCTTCTTTGTGTGCACGTGGGAGAAAGAACACACCAAGAGTGAGTACTGGTGTGCAGGCGGGACCGACTCAGTGATACAGACTTCTACAGGAGGACTCTGCCTGTGTGAGTTTTGATTGATCCCACCCATTGCCATCTACATCAGCCCAGCCAGTACACTGTCACTGTTACTGGGATTATGTCCTGGGCTCCCTTTAATTCCCTGGTCCCTGTGGTCTCCACAGAAAGAATTCAGAGGTGACTGTACACAGAGTGTACAGTGTAATAGAAGACAGGCAGGGGTTATTATACTATAAAGTGGAGCTCCTTCAAGGGATGAGCGTGGACCCTGACCAAAGGGACCATTACCAAGGGACACACTCTCAACAGGTGAGTATGGACAATGGCCAGAAAGACCAGTGTGCTAGCCTGCATGTTTGGGTAGGCATTGTACTATTTCTAAAGTTACTAGAACAGACAGATTTCCTGAGGGGCGTTTTCTTGTTCAGGTGATTGACAGGTCCGTTTAGATTAACTCCTAAGGGAAAGGACAATGGTAAGCCTTTGTTCCTTACCTGAAAGCCTGGCCTAGATAGTTATCTTATGACCTTCTGTCAGTTCAGAATGTCATCTCTCTATCCCGGCCCAGAGATGTGACTTTGATATCATTCTTTTGGGCGGTGATCATGTAAGAGAACAGATTAAAAAGAACTTAGGGAAAAGAGAATAAAAATGAATTTATAATACCTGACGTGGGAGATATGATCATGAAAGTGGTGGTTTTTCCACAAGGAAAGCTCATCCATTGCACTCCAGACATGCTAACCCTTTGTGATTTCTCCAAATGTGCAGAACTCAATTACATCATTTGTGGAAGGAGGGGAACTGTGTGCCTCCTCTCACTTAAATCATAAATTTATAAAAACAGCCATGTTTTACCAGGAGGAACTGGGCATCTCCTGATGGGTCTCAGCAGAGCCCAGCTATCCTGCCTTCCTCCCTTTTGTCTATCTAATCTGTAACTATTCTTTCATGGAGCATTTTAAATATTAAGAGGGGACACCATGACACCCCCTTTCTTTATCCTTTTTATATGTCTTCACCTGCAAAATTAGTGTATTAGCAGTGACACAGGAGGCGAGGCCAGAAATGATTTTCAAAAAAGATAGAGCATGCCCTTCATATTGCTGATCTAAGAACATGTTGGGGAGGTGGGAAATCACTACCAAGTTCAGCTATCTCCCACCCTCGCCCCCTGAAGGCCCTGAAACCATTTTCTTTTGGAAAATGGAGATTTTTTTTTTGAGTTGCAGAGTCTTCACCTCATTTCCTGAATTCTTGAATAAAATCATGTTCTCCTCTAACGTCTGCCCCCTGGTTTGTTTGGTAGAGATCAGGGGTAGTAGGCTAGGACCTGGTAACAGTCAAGGCCCTGGAATCTCCGTTCTTGGCTTTATACAGTGTTAACTATGAAGAAGAGGTCCAAGCACTGTGATTTCAAGTCTGTTCATGTCAAACCAGTGACCTAATCATCCAAAGTACAAGAAAGATAGACATTATATATTTCCCAGAAAATAGAAAAAAGTAAACTAGTAAGTGGTTTGGGGGAAGGCATCAGATTTTACATGTGCATACCCTTTGACATAGCAGTTCTGCTTCCAGAAACTGATCCTACAGAAGTAATTACACAGATGGACAAAGATATATCATAAGGAAGGCAGATACAGCATTACTTACAATCTTGAGGAATTGGAGACCACTAAATGTCTGGCAAAAGGCAATTGGTTAAATGAATTATGAGAAAGAAGGGCTATGTACTTGAGAGGAGGTATTTAATATGTCAGATGACTACCACGCTCAGGGAATATATGTTCAAAGATCATAAACCCTAAAATCCAATGCTCTTAGTTTCAGCCACCTCCGGGCAGCCCTATAAACACCCCTCCCACAGGCAGAGGGCTGGTGTCTAACAAATGAGCCAGTAAGACACAGGATTTCAAATTTAGATTCTTAAAAGTTTAATTGTAGTTTACTTTTTTGTGTAAGTATATGTATGTGTTATGTGAGTTCGCGCGCGTGTGTGTGTGTGTGTGTGTGTGTGTGTGTGTGTGTGTGTATGTGTGTGTTTGTGTGTGTGTGTGTAGGTCTGAAGTTGACATCCAATACCTTTCTTTACTGCTCTCTTCTTTATTTATTGAGGCAGCATTTGTAGATGAACTCAGAGCTCAGCCAGGGGTTGTAGATGAACCCTGAGAGGTAGCCAGCCAGACTTCTCTGTCTCTGATTCCCAAGTACTAGACTTGGAGATGTTCGTCTGTGTGGATTTGACATGGTTTCTGGGGATCTGAACTCCAGTATCCACGCTTATGTGGCCAGTGCTTTATCTACCCAGCCATCTCCCCCGCCATCCTGTAGTTTTCTAAGGACAAAAAATAAACTAATTATTTGACTTTGAAGACTTGAACTATAATGATTAAAGTAACTCAGGTACCTCAGTGGTATAGCTTGTTTTTAGAGGTCCCAGCTCAAAATTCATCATGAAGCATGACTTAAAAGAAAAAAAAAAGAAATAAAAGGCTAACAGAAGTCAGGGAGAACAATTTTTCCAGATGAAAGGCAAAGCTATGAGAGTTTGGAGTGGGCACAAAAACAAAAATATCTGACAGAATGTACAAATTCATAGCAGAAAATTCTGGTTCTGTGTTTTGTTCTTATGCTTTAAAGGCAGGCTCTTTCTATTAGGCCAGCCCAGGATGGCTTGAAGTTTTCTTGGCTCCTTCTACTCAGCTTTTCCAGGGGATGATAAGCACATGCCACCATGCCCACCAGAAAGGCCTCCTGCATGGGAAGTTAAGCAAGTATATTTCTAAACATCCCTTGCTGTAAAAGGTATTTATTTTTATTTTATGTGTATGAACATTTTGCCCTCATGGATGTCTGTGCATTCCATGCATATGGTGCCTGAAGAGGCAGAAGAGGCTGTGGTGGATTCCCCAGAACTGGAGTTGTAGATAGTTGTGAGCTTCCCTGGAGGTGCTGGGAACCAACTCTGGGTCCTCTGCAAGAGCAGTAAATGCTCTTAACCTCTGAGCCCTCTCTCCAGCCTCCATCTCCCGGCTTTGTACTCTGATTCAATGTCAAGGAGTTGCCAAATGAGAGTGTGATCTAGACGTTCTGGGGAGAAAAACAAAGGGAGCTGAACAAAGGTGATGTGACCCTTCTAGCTCTCCATTCTTCCATATGCTGTTGAATGTGAGCCCAAACTCCAGCAGCCACTTGAATAGCAAGGTTTGGAAGGTAACATTTGGGACCAGAGTGTGAAGACCAAGTCTGTGTTACTGATCATGCCAGTGGATGATAGGCCAGTCTTAGACTGCACATTCTGGGATATCTCTTACATGAGATAAAAATTAGCTTTTCTCTTAAGACACAGCCACTAGCTCCCACATTTTATGACAGGGTACTCTTGAGGAGTGAGGGATAAGAGATATTAGACAGAAGAGTAGAGGGGAAAGATACAAATAGAAACACAGGATAGCCTCCGGAAGGCCTGGATCATTATCCATCAGCCCCTTCTGTCTCTTCTCAAGGGCCTTTTATAGGAATGCCAAGGGATAGGGCAAAAGACCTCTCCCTAGCACAGTCAAGTGCAATCCCTTTCCAATCACCTGGTAACCACACACGTGGTCAAGCAATCCTCTAATGTAGAGCAAGCTCAGATCTCACTAGGAAACCTTTGTGGGCCTCCACAATTTTTTTTGCAATATTTTTTATAGCCCATGTAATATGAGGCAAAATACAAATTTTGTTCAGAACTTGAAATAGCATCATCTTTGAAATGAACAATAACTAGTAAAACTGAATGTGTGTGTGTGTGTGTGTGTGTGAGAGAGAGAGAGAGAGAAAGAGAGAGAGA